ATCCCTCCCTCTTCTTTTTCCCACCCCTCCCAATTGTGCCCCGCCGGGGTCAGGTGCCCCGCATTGGTCTGCCCTTCCGGGTGAACACGGCATACCTTTTTAGTTGTGAGAGAACGAAAGAGGTCTCTCTCTCTCTACCTAAGGAGTAGATAGTGATACTAGACCCTACCACCGGACCAGTCATCCATAGTTTTATCTCCCACCCCTTCTCTTTGTCTGCTGTCCACCTGCCCTGTCACCGCCGACGCCGACGCCGCCGCTGCTGCTTCAGTGAAGGAACGACGAGTGCGACGGAGGTACCAATATCCCGAGATATCACTACCTACGTCTGAAGGTACCTGGATCAGGCCGATCGTCACTTTGACGGGTGTCCTTGCCTTTCGTTCCCCGTCCCTTGGGTTTCTTGTTGACGCCCCACCCTCAAGACTAGTCCAGTCTTCCCTCGTTGTCTTCTCTCGCCCTCCCTCCATCCCGCCGGCCGAGCTCAAGAGAGGGGCGGACGTCCTCACCCCATATTCGCACTCGCTGCCATTCTTCTTCCACTTTCCACTCTATCATTGCTGCTGTACACTGTCTCTCTTTCTTCAGTCTTGTATTCCAGGCCCCTCAGCCTTTGCCTCAACTGGGCACCAGCGCATTAAGGGTCCGGCTACATCGCTCTCTCGCCTTCGCGCAGAGCTAGCCTCCGAAGATGTGAGTCCTGTCTGCTCATAACTCATGAATTTTGAGCTCGTCATGTCTCCCATTGGGACACTAACAACCGGGGTTACAGGAAGTTCGGCAAGCAGATCCAGCGTAGACAGCTTGATCTTCCCGAATATGCCGCCAGCTTCGTGAATTATAAGGCTCTGAAGAAGGTCGGTCTCACACTCACTTATCTGGCCGTTCACTACCTCGCCTTTCTGTCTCCCTGGACCACCAGATATACACCATGTCTCACCACAGCTGACCCCTATGACAGCTTATCAAACAACTTAGTGCGACACCGACAATACCCGCCCAGAGCGCCGCAGGTGTCCCCCAAAATGTCCCCGAAGCGCAAGCTGCTCTTCGCGCGAACAAGGAGGTGTTCTTTTTCCGTCTGGTAAGAAAGTCTGCCCAGCGCATGATGAATTGGAACTCATTGGTGATTTGTGTAGGAGCGAGAGATCGAGAAAGTCAATGCATTCTATCTGCAAAAAGAAGCCGAGGTTTGCATTCCTTTGCAGCTCCCTTCAAGAGCTGTGATGGGCTGACGGCAAGGAACAGTTCTCATTACGGCTGAAGACGCTAGTCGACAAGAAACGAGTTATCCAGTCGCGGGCAGTGACCAGTTCAAAAGCACCAGCCAATTTCGTGGCCCTGTTTGAAGGGTTTCAGCAGTTCGATGGAGACCTGAACAAGTTACAAGTGAGTTCGCTCGGTGTCCGGCAAGCTTTGTCGAGGGAGGCATACTGATAGTCACTGTACGAAAAGCAATTCGTCGAGATCAACGAAACTGCGATGTCGAAAATTCTAAAGAAGGTTCGTCACAGAAAGCAACGCAGCCGTTGGATTCCTTAATCTTGACATGGCTAACAGTTCAGTTAGTGGGATAAAACATCAAAGGTCCGAGTCACTCATACCCGCGCGTCGTGGATCCATCCATCCCATCTTGATAACGTGCGACCATTTACTTATCTATGTGTATCCTATAGTCTCGCATGAAGGAACTCTACCTGCACCGCGCTGTTGAAGTACAACCGTGTTTCAATCGTGATGTCTTGCGTGATTTGTCCGACCGAGCAACGACAGCCAGGTTAGAGCTGGAAGCATGGGCAGAAGGCGAAAACATCCACTTTGATACGGCTCGCCCGGTGGATCGGGCTATGGCTGTTCAGGCCTTTGGCACGGATGAGGAAGATCTCGACCTGCAGATTCTACAGTCTGCAATGGCAGGGAACCTGCAGACTCTACGCGAATGGACCGCCAAGTTGCAGTCGTCTCCCGACGCACAGGCTCGCGCAACCCGCACTTTCTTAGCCGCCATCAACGAGTTCTCCGACGATGTATTAGCGGTGCTCTTGGAAAGCGGCCTGGTTAACCTCTTAGCTGAAGATGACATCAATGAGCGCAACTGTCTGCACGAAGCAGCGATCTCTGGTCGTGAATTTGTCTTCAAAGCTGGCCTGGAAGCCGGGGTCGATGTTTCCAGAACAGATGTTTACGGCAGGATTCCTCTTCATTACGCCTGTATGCATGGACGCGTGGATATGGTGCGGGATCTCCTGGCCGCAGGACCTCATACTGTCGATGTGATGGATCATGATAACTTCACCCCTTTGATTCACAGCATTGTTAAAGATCAACTAGCATGTGCGGAGCAACTACTTCACAACAATGCCCGTATTGACCCCGCTTCCGAGTCCGATCATATTCCGCTGAATCTTGCCTGCCAGCATGGATCGCTCTCGATAGTTCAAATGCTTTTACAGCGGCGTGCACGATTGCTCCCGGATGCGGAAGGCCTCTATCCTCAGCACATGGTAGCACGAGCCTCGCAGTCGCCACAGCTACTTCTACTTCTCAAGCAATACGGGGCTGACATGAACCAGCGCGACAAGTTGTATCAATGGACGCCGCTCTTCCACGCCGCCAGCGAAGGCTGCGTGGGCTGTTTGCGCACCCTACTGGAGCTAGGTGTCGACGCCAGTGCTGTTGATGAGAAGGGCCTCTCGGCGATGTATTATGCAGCCTGGGAAGGCCATTTGGAATGCATGCTTTTGCTTTGGTCTATCCGCACCGACTTACGACCCGCACGGACACCATTCGACATTATGAACGGTATGAGACAGCCAGAAGCAAGCCACAACATTGACCTGCAAATTAGCGATGCGACAGAAACCGGTGATATGGAGACCGCTGACGGTATCCCTGATCTGTCTCTTCCGCCGCCTATCATACCCTTGAGGCGTTACGGCCATAACTTTTTGGATAAGAAAGTGTTTGTTCAGATATTATTTGACACTGGCGCGTCTGGTTCAATCTGCTTCGATCAGGCCGGGCGGCATCCTGCTGCTCGGTTAACCATCTCATCGAAGCTCTCTGACTTGATTCCCCGGACGATCATGCTTCCGATCCAAGAGGATTCACGCATGATCTCATTCCATGTGGACAACCTAGAATCATTCGCCGTTGATTTCGAGATTTTCCCCACTTTTGGCTCCAAGGTTATCGCCAAAACAGTCGCCCTACCAACAGTTTTCAGAGCTGAGAATTCCAGTACCGGGACATGTACATTGCCGTTGTTTGATCCTCGGTTACGTTCGATCGGCCAGCTTCAGTTTGGGTTCCAGGTTATCAAGCCGTACCACGGAGATCCTCTGGAGATCACACACTTTGCCACTTATTGGAAGGCAACAAGTGCTATCGATCCTGAGCATAACGGCCTAGTCACCGGCTCAAGCCTTTCAGGCGACCATGTTCAGCTTTTCGTGCAACTCACTAAGGATCGGGTTCCGGTTCTGTACCCTCACTTTACCATTGGCCATCACAACATCGAAATACCCATTTGCCATCTTACCTATGCCCAGTTCCAAGCAATGGGCGCCGAAAGGGGCATCAATCATTCAGAGATGCTGCAGTTCCTGCAAACGCGTGCGGTGGAGGATTTGACACAGGCTCATCGCTTGCTGGCCTCATCATTCCTTTCATTGCGAGACGTGTTCCACCATCTACCACTCAGTGTCAGCATCAATCTGTCGATCCTCTACCCCTCTGCTGCCGAGGAGCGAGCGTTGAACATGACGTCTTTGGCGGATGTCAACACCTTTGCCGATGCGATTCTTACGGAGGTGTTTGACCACGCTCGTATTTCGCGTGATCAGAACCCCGATTACATGCGTTCTGTGGTCTTTACCTCCTACAACCCCAATATATGCATTGCTTTGAACTGGAAGCAACCGAACTGTGAGTTATACATGCCCTTACAGGTATCGCTTGGAAGCAATACACTAACTGTTCACTTTCTATCTCAGATCCCGTCCTTCTTTGCAATGATCTTGGCCAAATTCGTGACTTAGCCCGTGACGTTAAGTCTTTGCCAGACGTCGATAGTAGTGGTCGAGCTTCTATGTCCATTAAGGAATCGGCACGGATAGCGCAAAGTAACAATCTCATGGGCTTGATATGCCGTTCTAGTCTATTGGTAAGTTGTGCTTCATCTCCCTCCTACACTGACATTATACAACAGTCTGCCCTAAAGATCGGAAACTAACAAATTGATACCATAGAATGTCGTACCGGCGCTTGTAGAGACGATCAAGGAGCTTGGCCTCGTGCTAGTTGCGGATACATCCGATGACTCTGAGCAACCCGACCAACTAGACGCCATGCAAGTCGCAAGCCCATTGGGCGTTGCTGAATGGGCATACAGAATGCCAGACGGTGTGAATGGTGTCATGAAAGCCAATGGCATCCTGAAATTCAACGATATGATTGACATGTGATACGCCAACTCGAGTACTCTCTTTCGCATACATCCCACGTTTTTCTCACAACCTTTTCGTCGATATGTATCTCGGGCGTCAACGGGTCCCGAACCATTGTAATCATGTCAGTCATACATGCTTGTTTCACTGTGAGGTCTTTTCTTTATGTGGGGCTCGGTTCATTTGTTACTTCTTGCACTGCATGCCTGGATGAACTTGTGCCATTACTTTTTCATAACGCTTGGCTCAATATTGCTACATGCTGTGGTTTTTGGGTACTCTAGACTGATGTCCTCTATCCTTTAATGTCCCGTCTCATCTTTCCTCGAACGTTTGTACCCTGTCGTCCTTAGACGATCATGATTGACGGAAATACCCGGTTCAATATCTCTGAGTGGAGAAGGACACTGCGTGCGTGTCCTGCAAAATTATATGTAACAGCTAGTGTACATCTCTCTATAAATATAACATCTTGTTTTGAAGACTCTTCACAGAGCCATTTCCGGCATTAATCGTCCCAACCATCATACTCAAACACATCTCCAATGGCACTTACATGCCCTTCGGCCTACCCTTGACGATATCCCAGCCCCAGCCCCTCAGAACCTTGACAACGTTGGGAGTGATCGCAGCCGTCAGGGGAACCCGAATGAAGATAAGACTCTTGTGAACTGCATAAGCGAGGGCAAGCTGCGTCCAAAGACCTGTTCAACGATGAAGAAACGCGATTAGCCAACGTATCTCTAATACTCACGGATGCATCCAAAGTAAAGGGGTAAAAAACATAAGCCACTTACTAGCTTCACCACCATTAGCCTTCTCCTCGCCCGCCTCCTTCTCCTCCTGCTCTGCCTGCCTCTGCAACGCAGCAGCAGCCTTCTCCTCCTCCTCCGAAGGGGGCCACACCTTCCGAACAGCCCCCTTCACCGACTCCGAAATAACATGCTCATAGTGGCCAATCCGCTCCACTCCAGCCAACCGAACAGCCATAAAGCACAGCGGGAAATCCACCGCCGACAGAATCAAATACACCCACAGCGCGGACCATCCGTACTCCTTCGACAGCGTGCGAAGACGCTGCGAAAGAGAGGGCGCTTGCTGCTCCGATTGCGCCGAGCTGTTCGACCGAGCAGACCGGAAGAACGACCGCCGGAAGATGTTCCCTGGTTGTTGCATCTGGCCGCTCCTGAATTTTATTTGGGAAGGCCCGCGGGTCTGGAAGCTCAATGCGCGTCTGCTGGGCATTCCAAAGGCCCGGCTTAGGATCGGGGAGGAGGATGTCCTTGTTGTTGTGGACGCGGGTGGCGCATTTCGGAGGATTCTCGACGCTTGAGAGAACAGGCGCGAAAGGTGAGACTGTCGTAAACTCATTTTGTTCGGGTTTTATGGATGGGATGGATGGTTGTCCGAATGCGAGCGAATTGGGGGGGAGGCGTAGTTTTGTTGTAACAGGTTGTGATGTGAGTCTTTCTCCGGTAGGTCTTCGGGAAAGAACGGACAAATCGTGGGGTGGAAGATGACCGGGAAAAATCACCAAGAAGTCCTCTTCTTAATATACTCGCGGATAGCGACGGTCTGGAAAGCAAAAGAAGCCGAGACGGCAATGCAGGCCTGAATGCAAGTGAGATTGGGATGACGTTGCGGCAGCAGATCGTAGGATCAGCTTACCTCCCGTCTTTTTTTTATACACTTCGGCGCCGCCATCGGCGTGCCGGCGAGTCCGGTTCCCGATTGGCAATTGGCATCGGAGCATGGAATCGACTGCGCGAAAATCGCATGCTCGAAGTTTGTGGTGCTAGTGTCGCCATATCTTCGGCATTGGCTCGGGTCAGGAATATGAAGGCTCCATATAAGCACTATTAGTGATCTAGTGTAGAATTCTGCGTGCCTACTTGCATGCTGGTAAATAAGCATTCATACAGTAACTAAGTAAACTAACCCATGTTTACCCGCATGTATTAATGCCTGAGGATCATACCCAGGCATCAAACCAGAATCCGCGCTCGCGCGCACCTACACACCACACCGCCTTCGAGGCTCTCCGGCCCATCCTCGACGGGGTCTCCGCACGTCTTGCCAAAAATCTCAGCGGCAGAAAAGAAGTGAGAGTGAGAGAGTTATACCTCCCCCCCATCACCTCCATTCGCCATGCCTCCCCGTATGCCCGGGAAGCTTTCCCAGCTTCCCCTGACGAACATCTGGGCATCTCAAATCCCGACCTCTTCTTCCGTCCGCAGCAGCCAATTCTCCATCACCTCTGTCCGCACCTTCGGTATCCGGTCCTTGAACCCCCCCGAGGCTTCGCGCTTCAACGTCGGCCATGACCTGCCCGTGCTGAAATCGACACCCACCGCCGCCCTCGAGCGCAAGGCAAACACCCTCCCCCTGCGGACCGGTGCCATCACCTTCAAGAAGGGCATGACCGCCCTGTATGACCCGGAGACCGGCAAACGTGTTCCCTGCACCGTGCTGCAGCTCGATCGAGTCGAGGTTGTATCGCACAAGACTCGCGAGAAGCATGGATACTATGCTGTTCAGCTGGGTGCTGGATGGAGGCGTCCTAGTAACCTGACCAAGTCCCTGCTCGGCCATTTCACTGCCAATGGCATCTCGCCTAAGCGTCATGTCTATGAGTTCCGGGTTAAGGATGAGAGCGGGCTTTTGCCTGTTGGTCAGGCGGTCAGTGCGGACTGGTTCCAGGAGGGACAGTTCGTTGATGCGAGGTCTAATACGAAGGGTAAGGGCTTTGCGGGTGTTATGAAGAGACATGGTTTCGGTGGTCAGGATCGCAGTCACGGTGTTTCTTTGACGCATCGTTCGCTTGGTTCCGCTGGTCCTAGTCAAGGTGGTGGTTCTCGTGTTTACCCTGGAAAGAAGATGGCGGGTAACATGGGTAATGAGCAGAACACGGTCCAGAATCTGAGGATCCTGAAGGTGGATGCTGAGAATGGAATCGTCGTGGTCAATGGTAGGATACCCCGAATTACTCTCTTGTTCTCAAGTGGATTTCTTATAGATGGACACGGTTGATGCTAACTTCGGGTTTCTAAATAGGCTCCGTCAGTGGTCCCAAGGGCTGCGTTGTCCGGATACAGGATGCCATCAAGAAGCCGTGGCCGGAAGCTTCCCCCGCGACTGCTGAGGCTTCTGAATAAATTAACCGCGCGCGCTTTCTGTTCTTCTTGTCATCTTTTGTGAAATGTACTACTACACTGTATTGTTTTTAAGAGCGGCGTCTGTATATGCTACATAAATGATATCCCTTTCCCAAAGTGTTGGTTCCTCTAGGTTCTTTTCCGCCTGATTGGCGCTCTCAAATAGCCCTTCCACTCCAGTCGAGCAACCTAAATCTGCCCAATGGGATGAGTGAGGGGGAAAGGGAGAGTGTGACGCTTTCCAAAGCCCGAACGCCTTAGCCCAATGCACATGAATGATATGATATATTTACATGCACAAATCTCCAAACACCACGTAACAAGCGAGTATACAGCCCGAAACAAGAGGGCCAAGTAGTCGAGCCAATCAATTGGTCTGGTTGAATGGGTCGGTATCCTTGTCAAGCAGCTGGACAACCGTGCCGTCCTCGGTTTCCAAACTCCATACTTCTGTGCGGAACTATACAACGAACGAACATTAGCCAAGAGTTTTCAGGTCAAAAACAAAAAGCAATGGGGTAAACGAACAAAGCTAGTCCGGTCAGGTCTAATACTGCGGAACCGCATTTTACCCTGAGCCTTAGTACCCTTGACCCAGAACGAGATATCAATGCGACCATGAAGCTGGTTCATCTCTCCACTAATCCACGGGATCTTCTGAGCAAAATAGATCTCATCGCCCAGAATCTCCCTCGCCTGCGGGGAAGTCCTCAGCGCATACAGCGTACTGTTAACCACACTGGAGGAAGATTTCTGATAGTTAAAGATACCCAGCATAGCGGCCCCCACGACAACAGCAAAGATAGGCAAGGTTCGTATCCATCGCCTCTCGTTTTGAACATTGGGTAGAGCTCTGTCCGCCCGTCTTTCCATAAGAGGGCCTGAGTTCGCCTGTGGTGCGGGGATCAAGTTGCGCCGGGGAGGGAGCATTTTGCGATGATTTACGCATACTCGAGAAGCGCCGATGCGCCTCTCTGCGAGTCGTAGGAGCATCTTTTAAGAAGGTATAGAAGGCCAATTGGATTTCGACGTGTTCCGTGTGTCTTGTTGCGGTGTGACGGCGTGACCTCTGTGGTTTATTGTATTGTGGAAAGTGGCAGTAATAGTAGGGCGTGGTTGCTAAATACTCGGAAGCCCGAAACCTGAGGCGGGAATGGTAATCTAAAACGGGTGTACTGCCCGTACCCTTGGCAAACGAGACAAACCCACGCCCAAGCTGGAGGGACCTCGTGTGCTTTTAGGCCGACGTCATCAACAATTCTTTGATTCCGTCTGCTACCTTCATAGCAGACATATTGTTGCAGCGATGGCGACGGCAAGGCTTCGCAGGGCATTTCGCTACCCTGATGATTCAGGTGATGACGAGCACAGTCGGGAGGAGCTGGACGAAGAAGGTATGTACATACTGGCAAATGGCCAAGCAGGAAGCCATTCTAGACGACGTTGCTGACGGTCCGACAGAGCAGGAACGTGTGATAGAGCAACTGAAAGCACTAAATGAGAAACGGAACTCTGAATATAGTGTAAATATATTTCCTATCATGAAACCATCGAACTGAGAGTGAGAGCATTTGCTGAGGACCAATCGACACATCTACATAGATCGTTTTTGCCGCCATCCCGCTATGTTCCAGCTTCGCTTTCATTGCTTCACTACTGTCGGGCTCCTCGAGTTTATCTGAACGATTTCTCTCTTTGCTCGGTGCCCTATCTCTACTAGTCACGGCCTATATCATGAAGTATCTCCCGCTTGAACGCCCGGATCCTAAGGGCAAGAGACCAATGACCACACCGCATGCTATGGCTAGCATCCGGCCATACATTTTACCTGTCAATGCTGCGATCTGCGTGCTTCTGGCCCTGGTCTACGCTTCGCAATCCTCAACGCAATCCTGGCTGGAGATCCAGCCGGTTACCTACTTGGTTCCAGGAGGTAGGTGACCTTTGGCATCCTTGCTTTGCTTGGATGTTTTGAGTCTTGCAAAAGATCGGACGAGTACTGACATGACATAGCAATGTTTGCAGCGGTATTAGTCGCACGCAAGGTCATGCTATCAGTTGACCTCAAAGCGCTTGAGAACCTCCGCTATGAGTACAAAGGAGCATAGGGCACGCTGCAATAAAAGTCTTTCTTGGTCAAGCACGGCTTCATGGGAAATTGCTTGACAAGACACGGGCGACAGTTACATGCTCATGAGTTCGGTAATCCAACCAGCATGTTAGTGAGTCTACAAATCATATTGATGAGGATAATGCAAGACGTTAAGTTCGATCCTGAATTCGTCCGCTGATACAATGCCAAGATAAGCCTGCTCGCTATTTGCGGAAATGTTAAATGAAGAGAAAAGGAAGTATAACGCCCGACATGCATAGAGCTATAACGACATGGGACACTACTGCAGCGCCCTGAAACTTGTCACTGGCCGGAGAGGTCAGGTGCACTCATAAACGAGCTGTCAAGCCTTTCCAGGGCCGGATCTACCGGTATATCACCATAGTCAGGCGCATACTCTGTTACTGGAGGCACCTCCTCGAGCTGAATGCTATGCTCGACCATTGACTGGTTACGCTTGTCGTCGGCTTCTTTCTGGTGCTTTTTCAGCCGTTTGACCTCATCATCGCCGGCCTTCTTCAGCCACCTGAGGTTGGATTGTCGGAAATCCACTAAGCTCTCCACACTTCGAGGGTCGGCTATCTTTCGGGTGTCGTGGCCCAATAATGTGCATGTCGGCTCAAAGGGCGTCATCGTGGGATCGCGACGACACGCAGCACAACTACAAATCTTGCGGCACTTTGGGCACTTCCACTCGAATGCTTCCATCGTCTCCTGCGGCTTTATATTGAAAGCCCTAAACAAGCTGCCATAACAGTAGTTCGTCCGGCAGCTAGAACACGAGGCAAGCTTCCACCTTGGCTCGGCATATCTGCAGATGTGGCAATTTCCAGTCTGCTGAAAAGCGTCAACTCGACGAGTTTTCCTCCGTTTGCGCGCGGAATTAAGTCGCTCCGAATCACTTTCCAGCTCTTCAAGCCGTTCTGACTGAACAGTCGGCTTACTTATGTCGACCCACGGCCGCCGCCTGAGTTCCAACTGGCAAACCTCTGCAAGTGTTCTCTTCTCCAGCCGGCTCCTCTGCGCTGGGAGACTCACGAATGTGTCTCGGGATTGAGAGTTGATGTCGAGTATCTGCAGCCTCCAGGTCTCGTATTTGGCTTGAAGCTCATCCCAAGGGAACTGCTCAACCCATTTGAGCTTAGCTATGCAAGCACAGCTCCTGCCCATCGCATAGCATTCCATGCAAATATCATAAGTGTCTTCTTCGTCTGTATTTGTTGGTCCCACACAAGACGGGCAAGTTAGGAACCTGTTGAAAATATTACCCCGGCAGTATGAACATGTAATGTTGCTGTCAAAGGCAACATATTCAACATCCTCTTCGGGTAGTTGGTCCGAGAAGCTCTCGGACAAAATGATGTCAGTGAAGAGGCCGAAAAGGTGCTCGAAGTCTTTGATTATTTGCTTAACTGTCGAATCACCACTGTCAACTGTATCTGCCTTGCGGAGGATGGCCGAGTAATGCTCCAATGAATAGAACACTATCGCCTTGTTCTTGTACTGTTCGTCTCGGCAAACCATCCTGGCGTGAGGAAGAGCCTCAGTGAGCGCTTTCTCCAGGGTTTCCGGAGTTGTACGATTCCAAGCTACTTTCATTGTCCGTGTTCCTCGATTCCACACTTGGTGTGCTGCTAAAGGGGGTACGAGGATGAAGTCGCCCGGTCGTTGCTCGACAACATAAGTCTTGAAGGGCGCTGCCTTCCACGCATTTATCTGCGCAAAATGATCCTCAATATCGATATCATGTCCTAGTGTTGACATCCAATATTCCGAGACTACACGGCGGTCTTTGCTCTCGGTCATAAACCAAATAGACGACCCCGGCTTCGTTTCTTTGCCATATTCAGTGGAACCATCCGACGCCTCCACCATGATGTTCTGGCCCAAGCTAGCACACATTTCCTGATGAGCTGGTGTATAGGTACCCTCGTGGCCAATGTAGCACATCAGGTTTTCTGCACGCATGCTTGAAGGGAGGCAACTCATAAGATCCCCAGGTCTGGCTATCGGATTATTTGAGCCCGTAGACTTTTTATTCCTGTTGGAAGAAGTAATTCTCTTCGCTCCCGGGCCGTCAAAGCTTTCCTGAAACTGGTTCAAGTAGAACAATCCGGGGGGGATTATCTTTTTCAATTGCTCGCGCCATTGATGAGGACAGTCAATGTCCTTGAGGTAGATCCTCTGGCGGTCAGGATCTTTGTAGTTATAGGAAGTCCACTGATTTGCTAGAAGGGGCAAGTTTTTCAGGTAATGTCCAATAGTAAGAGGTAAATCAGTTTTTGTGGTCAAATTCCGAGCACATTCCGCTGTGTCGTAGAAGCTCTGGGTTAGATAAGCAAGACAGCATAGATGAGGGATACATCACTCACTTTTCGATGAATAGTGAGTTCTTAGCCATTTCTCCGAGAAGATCGAGTTATTGAGCCGGTGGTTGAAGCCCTCGACTACCAAAGGCTTTCCACCCCGAACTACATGGAGCAACACAAGCTTCTCGAATATCTCCAGCCCATTCTCATCAATCATATCGCAGTGAATCCTGGCAGCTTCCTCGAAGTTTGGTGTCGAGTTCACGAGTGCTGTGAGGTCCAAGTCTGGAGAAAGTGGCTCAAAAGCCGCTCGGGGTCGCTGGGCGGGCATCCTGAAGGGGGTTCAACAAGGTCGGTACGAATGGCTATAGCTCCAGTACTTTCGCCTTCAAATGTATCGATCACCCTATTTCGCGATATTAGATAAAGCCAACAATTCTTTTTCCCCGCAGTAGAGCATACTTAAGCTACCGGATGGACCACTGCGCCGAGGTTGTGTTCTTTTGGAATTCATGAAAGATGTCGGAGCGTACGTACACCAGACTGATTCATGAATATCGCCCAGGAGAGGTGATCAGCTGAGTAGAGCCGATATCAACGCGCTTCAGAAAAGTGGCCGGCAGGGCGAACTTGATCAAATGCCCACATGCACATATCGCGCGGTCATGACAATAGCGAGCAGCAGACGAGCAACAGACGAGCAACACCACGAGGTTGAGACGGAAACAGCAGCTGCTTTCTGTGCAAGCTGTACCCCGATTCCCAAATGATGGAAGTAAAGAGTGTTCAACACCCATAGACCCTGCGCAGTTGTTGATTGTCTCGATTCACTCTCGCTGCAGCTGCATCGGCGATTGTGGCATGTGGGTCCCATCCGCCGGGCCCAGGAACGCATGGAACCACTGCCGAAAAAGGCTCAAGAACACCTCCGGCCGCCAATATCCGTACCTTAAATTTCGCTCATCATGAACCTTTTTTTCTCCCAATCAATTTTCTGAAGAGTGAATCTCAGGAAGCTCCTGCTCCTGGCATGAAAATTGCTTAGTGGTAGCTGCATCTTACGCTTCATTTTGCTTCAATTCTTCTCATCTGCTCGTCAATTGACTCGGATAGCATCTAGTCTGGTTGGCGTGCGGATTTCATCTGCCAAATCGCTGTGCCAGATCGATTCGTTGTCTCCGTGTAGGATAATTCTGAAACTGCTAGTCATACAGGAGGCCAATTGCTACGCACTATCATCTCTACATCCTCATTCGGTTCATTATGAATTGCTTGTATGCCGGCCGGCATGCACGACTATGTCGCTATCCTAGGGAAAGGAGCACTTACATATACCGATTCACCTCTGTACAGGGACACCAGTGTCCAGTTTCCTTATCGTCGTCTAGAAGATATGGTTATACGGCGACCAACAGCATTCAATCAATCTGCCAGAAATCGAACATTACAACCCACAACCGCCATCCCCGTCGCGCGGCCTTGATACTAAGCCAGGCACACAGTACAACAAGCCAGGCCTCAGTGACAAGCTATACGCCACCAAACAAGGGCCTTATCTCTTATTTGCCTCAGTCATGGATACCGTACGCTGAGCTGCTACGCCTCGATAAACCGACAGGTACATACTACCTTTTCTTCCCCTGCGCATTCTCAACTCTACTTGCCGCGTCCATTGCGCCGTCCGTCTCAGCCTGGGAAGTTGTTGGAACTACCGGTCTTTTCTTTGCTGGGGCCTTGATCATGCGCGGTGCCGGATGTGCAATCAATGATCTATGGGATAGAAACTTAGATCCGCATGTCGAACGCACGAAATTCCGCCCAATCGCAAGAGGAGCAATCCCTCCTGGTAAAGCGGTGCTGTTTACAGGTACCCAGTTACTGGCAGGACTTGGTGTTCTTCTTCAATTTCCGTATCAATGCCTTTGGTACGGTATACCTAGTCTTCTTTTGGTGACCACGTATCCGCTTGCTAAACGCGTTACTTATTATCCCCAAGCTGTGCTGGGCCTTACTTTCTCATGGGGTGCGATTATGGGCTTCCCTGCGCTGGGTATCGATCTCCTCCATAATAGCGCCGCACTGGAAGCTGCTGCTGCGCTTTACGCTAGTTGTGTAACCTGGACGGTCCTGTATGACATGATATATGCGCATATGGACATTAAAGATGACGTTGCGGCTGGCATTAAGTCTATTGCCCTTCGTCATGAAAAGAACACGAAAGCTGTGCTTTCAGCTCTCGCCGCCGTCCAGGTGCCATTACTCGCCGCTGCAGGTGTAGCAGCGGGAAGCGGGCCTATCTTCTTCATCGGCAGTTGTGGCAGTGCAGCTGTCACCCTCGGTCTCATGATCTGGAAAGTTCAGTTAAAAAACGTACAGAACTGCTGGTGGTGGTTTAAGAATGGTTGCTTGCTCACCGGTGGAGGCATTACCCTGGGAATGTTCCTTGACTATGTCGCGAAAATCACTGGGTTTTATGATCCGGACGAGGAGCCGGTTTCCCTGGAGAGCTGATAAAAAACAAACACCCTACGTTCTTCATTTCAGGTCCTGAAGCTCTAGCTAACCTCTTTATTTATCGTCTCTGCCAATACCTAAATACTGCTCCACCTTATCGACTATGGTCTTCCATTCCATCATACCCCCGGTTCCTGTATCGCCGCAAGCAAGAGATTTGTCTACCGGGTTAAGTACAGATACCCAGCCCTCGTTGCGAGAGTTTACGCCCCATTCATCATTCAGTATAGCCAGTTGCTTGGCAGTGATCGGATGAAACCACATTGCTGTATTCATGGCGGGGGCGACAAACACAATGGGCTTCTTTTCCTTGAAATTGGCGTCCACCGATCCCGTCGTGTCCCATGCTCGCAAAACAGAGAGAAGAAGGTTATCTGAAATTCCCATGGTCATTTTGGCCATGGTGTTGGCGGATAAAGGCGCGATGAGTAGGATATGAGCCCATTTTCTGAGCTCTATATGTAGGATTGGCTCGCCACGAGTCCAAGAGTGCCTCCACTCATCCTCGTCTCGGTAAATAGCATCCACGCCAGGTAGTTCGAGGAGATTTTCGAGCAATGGTTGCTCGTGACTCTGTCCCTTTAGAAATTCTGCCGCTGATTTTGTAACGATTATGCGGATAGAAATATTCGGATGGCGGCCAAGGGCTTCCGCGATATTGGGAAGCTTGATAGTCGCAACCGACCCACTGGCTGCAAGGAGCACATGAATTTTATTGTCACCCAGGTGGTGTTGGGCTTTGAACGGAGCTGGTGGGGATGCCATGGGGCTCTTGGGCAGATAATGGCCGGATTGGGCAAATGATATGATGAATGCAAATCTCGATATGCGGGGTGAAATTATTCGGAGTTGCGGGGTGTTTGCGAGAGCACAGCGGGGTGTTTTGGAGGAGTAACCTGTTTATCAATTACTCTGCTAACACTTTCCGGTAGGAATCAAGACATTCACAGTCTGCCACGTAAAGATGCTTTACACAACACTTTCAATAGAGATCATGGGGCAATTCTACCTTTGACTGTCCACTTCCAATTTGAAGTCGATATCTTGCTCCAAGATTAATGGGGAGCCGTCAGCTACCTTGACTAGATGGCTTGTTTTACCGCTTCTAGTATTTCGAGTAGCAGCTATTATTTTAATATGATTCACTTCTGTAGACGAGGTTTACTATTCGTACACTCTTGCCAAATGCATAGCTACCTGCTCACTGGGAGTTTTATCAAGCAGAAAGAAGTCTGGATCACATGACTGGGAGTGGGAACTGTTCCTTATTAATGTCAACAACTACAGTGGTTGCTTAGTGAGCATGTGTAGCCAAGTTCTCCGCATGTGCTAACTAAACCCTCCGGACTTCGGTGCATATAGACAAGCAGAGCTTGACTTCAGCGGCAATTATTTGACGTTTCTTTATTCTCACAAACTAATAATTCATCATGTTTTCTAGGACTTTGGCCTCATCGGTACGTATTGCGCACCCCTACTTTGCTGATCTCTCAGCTATTATGCATACTGCTCCTTCCTCTTCATGAACATAGCTAAGTTTACGATAAATTTTTATTAGGCGTTTCGGCCACTTTTCCGGCAACCTCAAGTGTTGCAACCTAGATTCGCTGGCATTCAGCTGCCCTCTACTCTCTATGCCCGGTATCTGTCTTCGGAGACACGGACAGCTATCGACAAAGCTGTCGCATCTGCACCCGTCGTTCTTTTCATGAAGGGCACGCCAGAGACGCCGCAGTGCGGTTTCTCTCGAGCCAGTATACAAATTTTGGGACTGCAGGGAGTGGATCCGAAGAAGTTTGTTGCATTCAATGTGTTGGAAGATGCCGAACTTCGTCAGGGTATGCTTTATAGATGGACTCTTGTCCTCAATCTCTATTTCAAATCAACTAATACTTGGTCTTTCAGGTATCAAAGAGTATTCCGATTGGCCCACAATCCCGCAATTGTATCTGGAGAAGGAGTTCATCGGTGGCTGCGATATTCTGATGTCGATGCATCAGAATGGAGAACTTGCTAAATTGCTCGAAGAGAAGGGGGTCCTTGTGGCGGCCGACTAATTTTAGGAATGTGATACAGCGCAGCTGCCTCGAAACACATACTGTACATTTACAAATATCATACCGTTTTTTGTCCGAAGGAAAGAACTATGTCAGCAGTAGTTGTATTCGTGCTTGTGACTCAATGTCTGCATTTTATTTTGGCGCGATCGAGGATGGGATGATAGAAGCTTCTGTCATGACTTACGCATTGTCCAAACTTCATACTGTTAATCTTAATGTGCTTGTCTTTTTGGAATGCATAAGAGTGGCTTTGTCTTCGCTATCTCCGAGCGTCCCTCCCTTATTCTCCGTCTTCTATATTATATATCATTTCATGTTCTATGGAAGCGCTTTTGCCCGGCTTTGTTATACACCATTGCCATCTAGGCAGATGCCGACTCTTTGGACTTGGCCAACTCCTCAACAACACCCTTTTCGAGTTTGGCGCGCTGTCTTTCTTCATAGGCTTCCCTGCTTTTCAATATCCTGTCAACGATCTCACCGGCATTCACATGCTGGTACGTATGGCTAGATGTCTCTTTGAAAATGCCCATCCGCTTGGGTGCCACATAAGGATCATAGGTGAGGGGTATGAACGTAGTAGGACCGTGGTAAACTGCATCTGGAACGCCTAATGGCATGGCTTCCAGGTATGACTGACTTGGGGAAAATGGCGAGGAAAAGATCACGGCATGTATATACTAAACTCTGGTTAGCAGGTTGATACTTCACTTGAAGATTCCAGACACCTCGAACTACATACGCGACACTGCAGAACGCATAGCCCGCGTTCAAAGATGTTCATGATGGGGTAGTTGAGGCCTTTCCAGTGGTTTATAACATCGTCGTCATGTATGCCAGCAACAACATAGGCAGGGCCATAGTCCTCTCCATATTCTTTGACTCTCTTGACTTTTTGCTCTTCGTCATACCAACCACGCCGGTGGCCTTCCAATTCCTCCTGCGTTAAGACCTGTCGAAGGAATTCGATGTGCCCGGATGAGAACAAGTCAAATCCTCCATCAACATAGATGATTCGCTGTCCTGGCCTTGGCGATTTTCCGTTTACAATGGTCTCGAATGCGCCAGGTTCCTCGACTGTGTTCCCAAGTTTCGCAGAACTCGATCCGTTCCAGATCCAAACCTGCGGGCCAGGCTGCAGACCAGTCTCGTCAGTGGCATAATCACGAATCCTTTGCATGAGACTATTGGCCGAATGCTTGCGCTCTTCCAGACTTCCAGATCCTTCTTCCCCGTTGAGGGTATCTTTTACGCTCTTGACGAAATGATTTTTCGTACACAGAAGCATTCGCCCAACAAGGTCTGTCGTGGATATTCCCGGCGTTCTCTTGACCACACGAAAGCGCCCTGCAGCTTTAACAAACCGGTAGCAGTCCTCCCCATTGCTGTCGGAAGTGATATCATCGCCATGGACGACATACTTGCAGCCGTAGTGCGAAACCCAAGGTAAAAATGTCACGTAAGGAGCAGAGGGAACGCAGCGAGTCACCCAGCGACATGCTTCCACTGCAGCTACTCTAGACTTGGGTTAGAAGGCCAATGGGCTGCTTGATATAGGCAAACTAACCGTTCATCCAGTGTCATAACTGTCGGCCCCTTATTCTCGAGGATTGCTTCGTCAGAGTGAACACCGACATAAAGCTCGTCTCCTAATTGGCGAGCCTGGAGCATAGCGCCCGCATGGCCTATACAGAACTCAGCCTTGTGAAGGTGTTGTGTAAGGTACGAGCAAAAGGTGGCATACCATGATGGCTAAAGTCAAAGCATCCGTCTACCCAAATGCGATTGTCCGAAATGGGTACATCTTCTTGGGGGTCCACGGGCCACTCTCCTGGCGCGGGGATCATGTCTTCTGGAGTGGCGCTCATTGTTGTAGGGCAACTTCGTATGGAGGGAACATAAACCAAGAAGCAATTGCCAGGGTTTAATGGGTACCCTATTACCTTATGCTTGTATTGAAGCGTTCGGGTAAGTTGTCGACGGGTTGAGACCGTGAAACAACTTAGGGAGTCCACCTACCTAACCCGACTAGGCGGGCTAAAGAGGGGCAATGTGGCATGCGGAGAAGGAGGCGGGATGACATCGTAGGATTCGGAACGGGGCGTTACATTATCAGTCCCCGCCTAATAAACATAACCTTTAGTGGTACCTATACTTTCTATGCTTTGAATATACTTCAAATGTACCTTCTGCTACACACTGTCAGATAATATAACATCCATTTTGTGTGACCACTACGTGTGTTAGAATGGTTTTGAGACTTGACCAGATATTCTAATAATTAGAGATTCTGTACTGCCATAGTGAGCGTTCCGGTTCAAAGACAGTATTTATCAAGAGAACTTGTTCCCTTTACATATAGCAGCAACAAAGGGGATCAAGGAAGCCCCATCATAAAATGTCATCCTCTGGAATTATCGAGAGCAAACCACACTGGTGTGTAAATGGCAACGCCATCACTCAAATGCGTTACGAAGAAGCGGATTAGTTCAACATGCCCATTCCTCTATTCTGGTGCATATATAGTACTCATGGTATATGAACACGACGTCGGAAAAAGAGACAGGTGATAAAAGCGAAAGAAGAGTCTATAACTTTTGGTTGTACATGTCTCATGAGTGGCGCGTGATAGCAGAAACAAAAGGCGCTGAGGCAAGGCATTGAAAGACAATCACAAGCAGATGCGGTCCGGACCAATTGCAGAGGGAAGATCCATCGGGAATAGAAAAACAAACGCTTCGATTAAGACACATGGATGAAGGCGAAAAGACGGGAAAGAGAGACGCCAGTTAATGCAAACGCTCAAAAACGTATGACGGAAAATATAGACCAAGACCACAAGCCCCAATTGTGGTTAGGATTGTGGTTAGGATTGAAGCTTAGTGCTCTCGAGTTCACGTTGTTCACTGAAAACTCGGCGACTCATCTCAAGAACAGCCTCAAACCCTTCTCGGCCCTTCTTCGCGTTCTGACTGAATCTCTCCACGCTAGCTTCTTCTACCTTGTTTTTTATTTTCTGCCATCCACCGCACAAGGCAGTAATCTTCGCCTCTTGGTTGAAATCGGTAGTTGAGGAAGGGTTTGACGGCGACGGCTGATAGATAACGGTCTCCTTGACGTTCAAGACGTTAGACCATGTAAGGTTGGTCGAACACATCGTGACCTTCTTCGAAACAGGATCGACGTAGGACACTTCGTAAACATGCGACGTAGCACTGCCTCCAAAGAGTGAAAGAACCCATTGCGGCACTGATTGATTACAGGTAATCAGACGCTCTGTCCGCAGCTATACAACAAGACAATCAGCCAAATGTTGCACGGTAAGAATGAGAGTAAGATGGTCGATGATACGTACAATTCCAGTATCAGCATCGACTGCCCGAGATAGGGTGTCTACTGCCACGACATGTGTAGACTTGTCATTCCAGGGACAATATTTGCGCCAGTTTGCCGCCGAAACTTCTTCCCAAGAATAATCGAAAGTGCACGTCGAAGAAAAGACTCTCATGTCGATAGACTGCAATCTGAAACGTCCCTTGGGATCGTGATAGACAAAGAGTGGCCGTATGCTTATAAAACACTTCGAGAACAAGAAAGATGCACGTCCAAGGAGAAAAAGAGAGCGAGCCAGACCGGGAGCAAAACCCAAGTCTGTGGCGGTAGGTGCTTCGGAGATAGGTTCTTATGGATTCGATAACTACGAGGAGTTCAGGATGCGGCAAATAATCAACTACTACAAGATGAGTAATGAGAACTCCACATGAGTGGTCGTGAAGGCGGACGCAGTGAGTGAGAGTGGCGATCGCCAATCTTGTGCAATATAGCGGTAGGATTGGTAGAAAATTTGAGAATTTTAGCCCCGGATTCCGCGTTCTTCTCCTGGACAAGAACAGTGGCGCCAAGGGTCGGGATTTACCGGTACAGTAATCTGACTCCCGGTCAAGGTCAAAAGACCGCCTTCAACTCCGCATAGAACCCACTAGTTAGTTAGGTACTTATTATGTGCATCTGACATCAGGCGCTACTATTTTAGAGGGTCGAGGTTGGTTTATGCCGACTACTACTACTTTGTACATCCGAACAATCCCCCAGATCAACATCTTATGCTACCGATCAATCACTCATACTATAGGATAGTTGAATTAATTGAGGTCAAGATATGACAGTGTGAATGATGCTCTGGCCCTTTGTTTCCTGCATCATCAAATGTCTTTGAATTATCCAATAAGAGCCAGCTTTGCCTCTTGATACCGAACATTCGTCAAACGGTTCCAAAAGTGGTAGTCGATATTTAGAAGGCACATACATGCTTTTGGTGTACTCGGGGGAACCCCATATTGACGGGGAGATGGGAAATTCTTGGTTGATAGATACGTTAGTCATTTACATATGCAAAGCATGCACTTTCTAGTTCTTTACATACCCCTGTACAAGAATCCCTGCCAATTATTACACATCTCCCATGCGTACTACAGTGGCTGTCTCGGGTGTTAGTCGTTTTCACCTGTTAGTCTTGGCCTACACTCCACTATCTATGAACTTATCCACTGTTTAGCTGTTGATAAGCATCTTCAAAAGTCTTTCTTTACTTCCCCCAATCTTTGTGTTTTGTTTCCGTTGACACAAAAGATCAAACGCCTGGATTCTCAATCACAAGATATGGTTGAACTACGAAAGCGCAAGGCGCCAGCACAAGCCCCTGCGGCAGAGCGCAAGGCCAAAAAAGTTCAAGAATCCACGGTATCTCGAAAGCCGGATTTCCCCAAGGCCATCTCCGACGATAAGGCTCCAAAAGTTGGCGACAAACTAGACTTGGACAACTTCGGTGGTGATATTGAGACTGACGAAGGGCAAAAAACCACGCTGAAAGATCTCGTCGATGCTAGTGAAGCTGGTGTCGTGCTGTTCACGTACCCTAGAGCTTCAACCCCAGGCTGTACGTAAAAATCTCTACTCCCACCTCTCCAATTTCCCCCGCACTCTGCCATGAGGATAATCTGGTGCGGGTACAAGCACGCATGGTGGTCATCGAATACACCCATTCGCGATTATGGCCTTTGATATAATCATCCGCTGCAGTAATCCTAGAGAAGCTAATATATTAATAGGTACCAAACAAGCCTGTTTGTTTCGTGACAATTATGACTCTATCACGGAAAGTGGTTTATCGGTTTACGGCCTTTCAGCGGACTCACCAAAGGCAAATACTACGTTCAAGACTAAACAAAGGTTGCAATACCCTCTTCTCTGCAATCCCACCGCTACATTGATAGCAGCTCTTGGACTTAAAAAGTCGCCAAAAGGCACAATTCGAGGAATCTTTGCTATTGATAAAGAGGGCAAAATTCTGATACTACAGGCCGGAGGCCCCGATGCGACGCTTGATGCTGCACGTAATCTAGCTGCAGGATTGAAGAAACCGAGCTCTGGAGACGAAACCCGCCACGCGAGTCCACCAGCTAAGGATGACTAGTCATTGATAGTGGGTAATCAGCATATCACTTCAATGGGGTTGCTCCCATTGAACGTGGTAGTTGCTGGATTCATAGGTTACAGACATATTGAGGCCTTGATGTTTCCAATTGCTACAGGCCTTGTCTGGCATAATCATTATATGCAATTCCAAACCATCCTCGCGATTGATGCCCCAGAATGTCCCCCAACCCGAACTGTAACCGGCCATAGTAGCCCGCTTCTCACACGTGAGCAAGGCAATTTAGCCTCTTCTAATATGTGGCCTGTAGATGCATGCCCTCTGACACTTTAGTATACAGTAATGTTTTTTTTTTTTTTCTCTCCATGAAATAACAGGGCTCTTTCATTTCCACAGCTACCTACCACAAGGGCAATCGGGGGTGTGCGACTGTCGGAAAATAAGTTGTTCCGTGTGTAGAGGCTCGATTCCGCAGGCCTGGTTCCGTTTGAGACCGTGCGGCGAAGGACGTACCCTTGAAGGTCTTCCATTTCCTTCCCGATATAGTATTCAGGTAAATTGACACCCACTATAGCAAAATCCCTTATCATATTTGCGTCTAAACCATTAATACGTTACCTGGACAGAAAAGAAATCATGGCTCGCGACATCGTGAAAGCGGCTAAGTCCGCATCCAATGTGATAGCCGTCCATAAGGTAGGAGATAGCCATTGGCTACTCTGTGTTATATCGGGATAGAATATTTTACTTATTCTTTATTAGAAATACACTGTTCAATCCACCGGGATATGGGAACGCATTCGCCGCCTCCTTGCCGTCGACCCGACTCGCTCCACGGGTGTTCCGTTGAACGCTCAGTATCGTCTACCGACCCCTGGAGCTCTTCCTCCTCTATCCTACGATGATCCGGTTACTGTTCCGGCCGGTGATTTGGCTGACAACCCTTATTGGAAACGTGATGCTCGGAGGAACTATCCCCGGCTCAGTGCGATCAGTCAGGCGGATGCTGTGGGCCTGCTCAGTGTAGGCAGTCAAGCTGCCCCCAAGGACGATGTCCTTCAGATCGGCGAGGCAGGAGAGAAACAGTTGGTGTCCGTGAAGCAACAGGCCGAAGAGCGCGGCCTTGCTGGTCTGTTTGAGAAGGACAAGAATGGAATCAAGGAAGTTCTGGGCGCTAATGGTCTGCCTCCGCTGCCATGCAACTTGAACCCTGCTGGTAGCAAATATCAGCTCGGCCATGACCATGGCTACCCCAGTGTGTATGTGCTACCTATCCCCGTTACCTCTAGACCAAGCTAACACCTTTGATAAGCTACCCCTGCCGCACTTTCGTTTAGCTTGTCTATGCAGCATTCGAGTACAATATTGAGATAAATGCAATTGTACTTACTTTCCCTTTATCACATGTTCTCATTACTAGACGGTCTGTCCTCGTGATTTTGTGTGTTTAATATTTACTAGTGTTGTAGATATTACTTGGTGTACTTGTAGATGTAATTGACAGAAGTACAGTCGATTTTGTAACCCATCAAAACTTATTGGGACAAGCAAAGGAAAAGACTTAACACTTTCCTCAGGAAATGGCGCAAGCCTACAAGGTACATTCTGCTGCCAATGGGCCATGAATTTGAATGAATTCTGTATACTCCGTAGAGCACATTTGGCTCCTTTAGTTGCATATCTGTGACAAGGCCAAGTTCCACACCCAGGATCACTGGCAATGCGTCTAGCAAATCCACTCTAAATCTAAACACAGGAAGAACTTGAAAGGAGCCAGTATAAGCTTTTTTGAGGTTGTGTGTTTTAGTTGCATGGCGCATGCTATATACTCAAGTTTTCAACTTCAGTGGATTATAGGAAGAACTATTTGCCCGAATATATGATCAATTGATGTTTAAATAACGACATTATCAAAAATTACATTGAAACAATAGAACCTTTAATAGCTGCTAGAAAATGGATTCGTGCGAGTACCCCACCAAGTAAGGAAGAGGCTGAGTCCCACTGTTTCAAACAACCTGCTGACTGCACCTACGGCAACAGTGTCAAGGGGTCTCTTTTCGGCAAAGACCTGGCTCACAACCTATACAAAGGCAGCACATAGTTAGCATGTATCAAATGCGAGTTGGAAGTGGAAAAAGGAAAGGATGGGGAGAACATACACCGGGGGCTGCGCTGGCCATGAAGATCAAGCTCCCAAGATAAGCCGCTCCCTTGTAGCTCAAAGTGCCCGTGGCGTTGATCAGAGCTGCTACTCCATACGTTTGGACAGAGCTTCCAACCAAGGAGGTACCCCAGGCTGCTACTGCACCAGCAGCCTCTTTAGATTTGAGGAACTCTTCCTTGGAATTGGCTGCTTGGGCACGATGATAGGTATCGCCGAATACGGGCGCGAGAATGCCGAGGGAAGCAGTGTGGGTGAAAAGAGCACCTGCCGCAATTGCGGAGGGCTTGACTGAAGGGAGATCTAGGCCAATTATGTTAATTCATGAGAGTTGAAGTTAAGAGGGGAGGGTCGTCGCTTGCACTGCGAGGACAGACGAGCACTCACAGTTCAAGGTTGTCATTTTGGAGATAGGTAGTTGGTGGCTTCGGTGTAGTAGAGACAAGATGTAACTTCAAGTAGGATGCTTCGAAGTTGAGAGAATCGATGTGTAGGAAGTAGATTCTTTTCGAGCAAGTAAGCCTCGTTTTATGGCATGGAGCTGGGCTAGGCTGGCCTTTTCAACCCCTAAGTACCGTCACCGGACAAGTCCATAGTCAATCCGTGGTGAGGTACGAAGTGACGTCGTTATGATCGAAAGACACGAGAAGCACAGCAAGATGGAGGACGACCTTGAGCATACTTTGTACGGTAGTGCTCTATCATGACATCATACAATACTCTCAGTGGGTGCAGGATTATTACGTACTTGGCGGAGGGTTGCCGCAATCATACTAGTGCCTGGATCGTTCAATACCCAGCAGTAGATCTTTACTACTTGCACCTTAAAAGAGTTACGTCGTGGCAGTATCCACAATCACAGACATCCTGGCGATATCTACAACGTACAGCCATTCTGTGATGTAGTCTAATCTTAATGTTTGCACATTTTTTGTACTTTCTTGGGGAAAAAATTACGCTCATATTGGATAGCTTGTTCGCTTGGCTCATGGTCCCTTCGTTTGACTCGTAATATAGATGGTACTCGCTGCTTAGCACTTCGAACTAATTCCAGATTGAACAACTAGGACCTAATGAAGGCGTCATTTCTGGTGCTCTAGTATATACTTTGAATTTGAGGTACAACTTCTCTCTGGGAATAGAATTGTTATGGCACATTCTACATCCATATCTGCGTGTTGTTGACCATGAGTTCTAGGATGCACCTTCAGTCTGTTATACATTGTATAATTATTTCTCAAGTACGCTTACTATCAGACAAGAACAATACTGTGACTAAGTTAGTTATCATATTTCGGGCGTTGCTAAACACGCCTGCTGCCCACTGCTCTGTCAATTATTTCCCACGTTTTCCTCTTTTTCTCCCTTCCCCCCTTACGGTTCTACTCAGAATTTATTGTTGCCCTTTTTTTTTCCTATTGATACCAGCTATATAGGTTCCTTGGTAACTATTCTTCACCAAAGGCGGACTTGTTATTCAACCTCACCAATGGTGGTCAATTCCCCTGGTACATTGTAAAAGTGTGACAACTCGTACTTATATGGGTGATTCCAGACATTAGGTAGAAAACCAATGGGGCAAAGTAGGGCGGGGAAAAAAAATTGAGGGAGACTAGAACTAACGATTCCGTACCTCCCAGTTCGACCCAAAGAAAAGAACAAGTTCATTATAACTAAGTGTGCTTCCATCTGAGTTACTCTTCAAACGTCCAAAGTTGCTTCATTTTATACTTCGGCATCAAGTGTTGGTTAACGCTGTGTGCTGTAACAGACCATCGTCATATTAAATGGAAGTTCCCGGTTCAATGCCAGCTGCAATCGACATGAATGATTCATTAGACATCGATGAATCGTTGATCCCGGTTAGGGATTTTAAGCCCGCCAGTCAGAGCATCATCTCCTTTGATGGGATGTTATCGAACCCTCTACTTCTCCAGGAAGATCTCAAGGAAGGGTGTGGAGGCCAGCTATGGCCAGCGGGGATGGTCCTGTCGAAGTACTTGCTACGCCAACATCAATCTAGCTTTCTCGGTAAAACAATGTCCGTTGCCCTATGACCCGGTTTTGTCCTCACCTGCAAACTGCCCTTCTTGTGCCTGTTATGCGGGTAATTGACCCCTGCTAATTGTTGATTAGAGTTGAACTTGGAGCCGGCGGCGGTCTCGTTGGCCTTGCGCTTGCACGCAAATGTCACCCTGAGGTGCCACGAATTTACATTACGGATCAAGCTCCCATGTTGCCCCTGATGAAAACGAATATCAAGCTCAACAATCTTTCTTCTACAGTCGAAGCTACAGTACTAAACTGGGGAGACTCCCTCCCAGACTGCATCCCAAAGCATCCCGCAATTATCCTTGCCGCTGACTGTGTTTACTTTGAGCCCGCCTTCCCGCTACTAATCTCGACCTTGAATGATCTTCTTGGTCCAGACTCTGTCTGTTACTTCTGCTTTAAGAGGCGTAGAAGAGCAGACCTCCGTTTCATGAAACATGCAAGGAAGATGTTTGATGTGGACGAAATCCGGGATGACCCTGATGCGGAGACATACCGGCGCGAGAACATTTTCCTCTACCAGATACGGTTGAAGTCGGACAAGAGGGGTGTCTAGGAAGGTCTAGCTACAAATTAAAACTAAAACTACTAGGGAAATTCATGTGCGAATATATCGAAATACGCTTGTCTTTGGTACATAGATACAATTTGTAACCGCCCTGGAATCTAAAGCTTGAGCACATGGCCACCTTCCTTCACGGCTTCTTTGATTTTACCGCCATTGATATTTGTCACTTCGCCCTGCTTCCCAATCAATTTGACTCCACCCTTCTTCAAGTCCGAAATGAGCTGCTGATTTTCAGCCGCTTTCCCTGTCTTCTGGGATTTTGCGGTGCTGGCGTTTTGCTTTTTGTGCTCTCGACGCAACCTAGCCTTTTGTTCCCTGGTCATCTCCTCTTTGGCGATTGCCGTTCCATTCTTCAAGATCATCTCACCAGCGACCTTGTTATCGTCACCAGGTGCGTAGATCTCCTGCGGCGCAAGGGTTGCTGTCGCAGTTACAGCGTTGCTAGCTGTCGGCTGAGCATCCTCCATAGTAATTGTTGCCACATCGGTGACAACATTGATGCTTGCCTGCGGAGCCTTGGGCTTGTAATGCCAGTTCGAGAGCGTGTCTAGTTGAGAGCTGATCTCTTTCCATAAACTTGTTACAGTAGCATGCTCACGGATCAACTTCTGATTTTTAGGGTCAACGAAGTTTGGATCGGTAGCACGAAGATGGTCAGCCTCATATAATTCAGCAAGGCTTTGCTGGGGTTTGGTGTCTTCCAGTTCAGGACGAACTCCGCGCGCGCGCTGAGCGTCGGAAACACCAGGGCGCCGACGTATTACTTCGTCAAATTGTTTGGCAAGGATGCGACGCTTGACAAGCTCTTCAATATCCTCTGACAACTCTGCCGTAACGACTGGCACGGGCTTTCCGATCCTTTCGAAATCCAGGTCTTCTTCAATAAGTGAGTTTACAGGCCTTTCGACAGCCCTGGCTTCACCAGCTAGCATCCAATCCTTCTTGGCAACGTTGGCAGCCTCCAAGCGGCGAATCTCATCAGCAATGCGAGCACGCTGTTTTTCATGACTAGAGGAATTGTTCTGAGATCCCCGCGTTACTTCGTGTTCATCACTATCTTCACCGGAAAGCTCATCTTCAAAAAGATCACGGCGAACATCAGCCATGGCACGATCAACGTCGTCGTTGGTAATGGAAAGGTCGGGCTGAGTTTTAGGAAGGGAGCGTGTCTTTTTGCGTGTAACTTTACGTGGAGGTGGAGCGAAGAAGTCAGAATACTTTATGTCGCTGGTGTTCATCCAACCTTCGCCTCCAGAATTTGCCGCATAGACATCATCTGCGTCCATATCGGAATCGTCCTCAAAGCCTGCATCACCAAATGTTGGACCTTCCTCTTCGCTGTCGGAAATATCATCGCCATCATTCCCGTCAGAGTGCTCCTGTGGCATGTCTCTCTTCGGTAGAGACATTGACCCTGCTGTAGTCAAAGGATTTGCGTGCCAATCGATTTCATCATCCTCGCTCTCAGAATCGTTGTCTGGGCCGCCACTAACGTCCTGTCTTTCGAGTAGTTCCGATTGCTTGTTGAAATCATCTATCGAAAAGAACCCATCATTCAGGCCAAAAGGATCCTCCACATACGTTTCTTGTTCACCGTCGTCGATATCGCTTCCGAGATTGTTGTCGGATAATTTCTCAATGTCTTCTTCGACGTCCGAATCATTGTGGGAGGTTTGAGAGTGAGCGTGTACTGAACTAAGGTCGTCATCGTCATTATCGATACTCGATTGGGTGAGATCGGCCTCTGACTGAGAGTCCACGTTGCTGCCCTCGAATTCGCTGTCGTCAAGTGCCACATTATAAGTTGAGGTCAGGGACCGCTCGTGTGGCTTGGCCACTGCAGACCACCAAGTAAAATCCCGCTCGACTTCACCACCGGAAGAATCAAGAATTCTCAAGGCTTGTTGCCATATCTGGTCAGAAGTGAAGCCGTCGACATAGAGTTGCTTGAGCTGTAGGACCTGGTTTGTAGAATCTTCCTCAGCTTCGGATCTTTTGCGCTTTCTATTCCTGCGTTGGCGCGCACATTGGGAATCGCCGACCGACGAGGCTAACGAATCTATATAGTACTTCACAGAGCCGGTGATAGTAGTTTTCAACTCCGTCGTGGGTTGGAGGAAAATCCAAGGAGTCGTCAATCCTGAATTAAATGAAGAAATTGTTTCATGAGTTTCGACTTCAGGAAGAGCCACAGATGGATCGGGAGCGAGGTTCTTCATGGCGTGGTACACGCCTGAGATGAGACAGCTGTATCAAATAAAAAGAGATGGAAAGTGAGGTAAGGAAAATATGCGAAAGCTTTAGATGGTAGGTGCAGAGAGATCAGTCTGATATTTTGAGCTACTGGTGGACACTTCAAATAATGGCTTGCGGAAGCCGAAAGTCGGGAAAAAAAAAAAAGTTAATGAGGGAACTAGGATAATCAATTACTTTGGGTCATAAAAGTGGGGACACTGGAAAGAAGGCAAGCTCGGGCCATGGCCATTTCCTTTGGCCGTTTCACTACAAAATGCTTTTTGTGATGGATGGCGTGTCGCATGGCAGATCTCATCATATAGCAGACAAACGTGGGCATACAAGGCGTGTATAACAATATAGATGATGGGTATTCTGTCTCATACTGATAAAGTCGAGGATTTTTACTCATTGTTGGTTTGGTGCATTAAGAGAATGCTTACCGACCTCTAGCAGGTGCCAATCATGGCCTGAAACATGCGCGAAGATACTGTTTGCGAAACATGACCCGAACAAGAAAAGCCCTGCCGAGCGTATGTAAGTCTGCAGAAAGGCCCGTAATAATTTATTCCCTCTAGTCGGAGAGATACTACCGCTATTGATGACTTGCGAGACAAGGATCATGGGCATACTTTACTTTGTATGAGCCCCGCGGAAAGTTAACACGACTAGAAACGCCAATTCCATTGTCACTGGTGAATCGAACTCCTTTCAAGTATCAGCATGCCAGAAATCTGTGTCCCTAATATTGATGATAAGAGACTTATCGTAGTATGGTCCTTCACCTTGCAGCCTCTAGGTATATTTGAACAGGCGAAGAAGCAGTCTAGCAATTAGTTGCATACTAAGCATGCAAACAGTGGTAATGTCTCGATCTGTTGAAATATTCTAACACTACGACACGATAGAGTCTAGATATGAGACATTTGAGTGTGAGCTGTACAAGTGCGCAGAATATCAGTGTGAATTTGCAGCCAAGTCCCTAACCCCGTTCTAATATACCTAGGAAAGTGGCTTGCAGTTATTGCATACAATACATGTTGGCCGGGTTTCCTTGCTCAACCATGAACATGACACACCTGGTATGCCTGTTGAAAGTTAAGCGTCCACTTCCCTTTTATCCCTCCCCCTATCAATTGCGCGCCGGTAGTGTTCGGTAATGCACGAGAGCACATACTTGATTTCCAGGATAGGACTTCTTATTAAGTCTACGTCCGAACCTGTCCGTTCCAACCCTTAAGTAACATAGGGAGGAAGTAATTCCAAGTTGAGCTTAACGGCGGTACCACATGCGGGTGATCCTTGTGTGCCGCATCTTCTTTTGAAGTTGAAAGATTCCGTACATCAATGCTTCGGAGGTGGGCGGACCTTAAGTTGTTCCCATTAGCCGACGTCATTGTAGGAATGGTAAAGGGTATACAAACATCCGGGAACGTAGACATCCACGGGTACGATTCTATCGCATCCGCGAACAACAGAATAACTGTAATGGTAATAACCACCACCATTTGCACAACTTCCCATACTGACGACCCAACGAGGGTCAGGCATTTGGTCGTACACCTGTCTGAGAGCGGGAGCCATCTTATTTGTCAATGTGCCTGCCACGATCATCACATCCGATTGCCGAGGTGATGCTCTGAAAATGATTCCAAGACGATCCTGATCATATCTGGGGGTCGAAAGATGCATCATCTCAACTGCACAGCAGGCGAGACCAAAGGTCATGGGCCACAAAGAACTTTGGCGGGCCCAATTAGCGACTTGGTCAAGCGTGGTACTACACATGAATCAGTATAAAGTACCCATCTCATGCGTCTCAGGCAACAAACAGGACATATTGCATAGCACCCTCCTTTTTCTCCTGGCTCGGTAAGGGCACCTCTTTCCGCACCTTTCCAGAAGCAGTGAGCGCTTGGCCAGACTGTCCCCGCTGTTCGATTGCTGTTGCCGACTTAATTGAAGAGGTCGAAAGGAACGAAACTGGCTGAATTCGGAAATGGCAAGATGGGATACGCGGTCGCACTACATGAGTTCAGCAATTTAGTAGTAACAATTGGAGAACACATACCATGAAGAGCGCTTGGGATGGCGCCTGGGATGGCGCGACCGGTGAGAGGCAGCATGGCTGTATCGCTCCCAGTAACAATGTGCACAGAGATAAAAAGAAGCGACTTTGCGTACAAAACCCGTATGAACTGCCAGAAGAGTGGAGGCTTGTAGTCCAGTCCGTCAATGGTGGCAAGATATTATCAGGATAGTCGAGGCTCAAATTAAGAGTATCATTCTGCACTATTGGTACCAATGGAACGCAATTTCTGTAAGTTACTGTAACGAAACCTAATTCAGTTCGTTGAATCCAGTGTCTCGCATTTACTCTGTGTATAATACCGTATTGGCACGTGAGCCACGGACAAGCGGCTAACATTGTGCTAGTGTAAGTTAGATTCTAAAGAGCTTCATTGGCTGGAGTCATCAAAGCTCGGTATTCGAATCCCTCCTTATCTGGACAGCGACATGGATCTCATCGCTGCGTGGAGCAAAGTACTGTAGATAGATGGATGCAGGTGAAGAGCACCCCGTAACAGAAACACCAATAGTTCCACACTATTGATAGGCGTCCTAGCAGCCTGGGCTGTATGAAAGATGATGCCTTACTAAAACGGGCGTATCTGAATAGAATATTCACAATGTGGCTCTCTTTGAAGTCGATATCATATAGAACAAGGTCGGACAACGCAGCGAGCACTCATAAATCAAGATGTTGGCAATGGCTTTGAACGGTAACCATGAAATTCCGAAGATGTATGAAGTCAACAGATAAGGGAATCCACAAGTGGAACAGCTACATTTAATAACCATCCTATGTTCTACGTTCGAACTTCGAAGACTTAACCAGACCGAATTCCAAATTATACGTACTGTGTAGTCAATATGAAGATATGCTGGGTCAAACTTTTCCTGTCCTTAAGCGTGTAATAATTGGGGGGGGCGCAATTGACCAAAGCTTTAATTACTATATTATTATACTCTTGTCTTTGAAGTGAAAAAGAAAAACGAAAAAGAAAAGAAAAATGTTGTTAAACTTTGAATTTGAATGATGGTTCAAGCGTATGAATCAATCAATGCATCTCTTCTGCCAGTGAAGAATATCTAAAAGAGGTGGCTCGAACATGTGGCTGATCCGCATGTGGATTACGTTAGTGAACTAGTATGGGGTTGTTCATGGGTGGGTTGGGTATCATTGACATAACTGGCTCAGCGCCTACCTTCTCCGAAACACAGAAGCCAGGAGATCTCGCGTCCCAAGAACGATGAAATTGATGATTTTTATCTGAATTCAGTGGGATTGATTTCTTCAGCAGGCCATAACTGACCTGGAGCTATGGCTTTGCCTAAGATTGCCTGTATCGGCGTCATTGGGAAAGCTGTGAGTCTTCATATCCTTCATCTGCTGCGCCAGTCTTAATGTAGGAATCAGGATAATCCACTCCACGTGTCGCTGTTCCCTCCCTATGTGGAGTCCACTATTGAGTTCTCTTTTATATTGAATTCCTGCCTTGATATCTTTGAAATACGCCGCAAACAGACGTCAATTGACCAAGATCTTGGTCTTTTGCAGGCTGTGGACGAGAGACTTGCAGCATATGGCTGGCTTTCTACTACGGGGGTAAAATTCCTAGTTATAGTTGACTTGATTGGACAGCCCATCAGTGATGAAGGACCTAAAGGTTCCACCAAGTCGGGGTTAAGGGAATTTGACCTAAAAGCAGTACGTTTGTGTTTTTCTCCTGCATTCGAAGTTCTACATGTTGAACAATACACAAGATCCTGGGCTTCAATCACTAATGGTGCCCACCTACAGGTTTTCCGAACTCTCCAAACAGCATATGTGCAGTTGCTACAGAATCCGTTTTATCGACCGGACGAGCACATGGCCACAGCGAAAGCCGTGTCATCTTGCAGTTCGCAGATCACAGACCAGAGGTTCATTAACGAGGTCAACCGAATTGGAAACTCATGGGTTCCGACTGTAGCCTCCCTATAAAAAACCATGAACCCATGCTATGTGGCAAACAACCTACCGCTCTACACGCTATCTTCGAAGAATCTCGATTTCGAAGATCACTTGTACTTTTGATGACTCCCACCCTTGGTATCCTCCAATAATCATGGGTATAACACGCACAGGATTCGGTATAGCATTCTCTGATGTACGGCATTCGTAGGAGACATCTGTCGATCGCAAAGTATCAGTTGATAATATCCAATGTTTACCCAGTGCTTTGTATAACTCTACGTTGTGTACTATTATAAGTGTATAATACGGATAAGAGGATTGAGGAATCAAGTCGATTTGACCAATCTGGTCATCATGGGATGGGTATATAGTGAAGACACAGCTTGTGGGGCAAAGCATCTCGCCCGAGTCATCCGTTTCGATCATGTGGAGGGTCACTCTCAGTCTTGTCCAACGCAGAAAGGACATTTGCAATCTCCGAGGGGTCAGATATAGACCAAACACCGCCGCCTTTCACCATAACCTTACCGACCTCTTTCCCAACCAGATTTCTACCGACTTTCCCAGGTCCAATGCCAATCCAGCGTGTTACTGCATGCGTCTGATCTAGGTATCGAATACTGTCCCACCATTTTACCGTATCGACACACTGCTGTGATAATAGAAACCTGAGTTCTTCCTTGGAATTGAACGGTAAGCCCGAGACGTTGGAGATACATGGCATTCGTGCTGGGAAATTGATATTCATATGTTCAAGGGCACACTTCATGTAGTTGGCTGCTGGTATCATAATGGGACTGTGAAAGGGACTTTCGCATCTCAGTCTCACCGCACGGGGATCGTGTCCTCCAAATTGACGAAGCTGGATAAGCAGGGCTCTTATTTTTGCAATGTTGCCGCTCAGTACAATCTGATTTCTTGAATTGATATTTGCCACCATGACTTGTTGGAATGCCTTGTACCATTGGCTCGAATCATCTTTTAGACTCGATGGGCCAAGTCCAATGAATTCGTAAATGGTAGAAAGCAATTCACTCATGTGGTCGGGCTCACAGACAAGTGCTATCATGCCATATTCATCGCCTGATCTCTTGATAGCAGCTCGAGTGCATTCGGACATTATCTCTGCACGCCGTCTCACCAACTTCAGTGCATCGCTAAAATCGAGATAACCTCCAGCAACGAGTGCTGAGAACTCCCCCAAGCTATGTCCAAGTGTGGCATCCACTCGTGAGGTCGTCATGAAGCCGAACTCCTCTTCAAGTATTCGAAGGATTAGTATCGATGTTGCCATTATAGCCGGCTGACAATTTTCGGTTTTATCGAGCTCCGAATTTGGTCCTTCGGAGATGATGTGAGACAGTTTGAAACCCAGGATCGAATCCATTTCGTCTAGGAATATGCTGGATATTTTCGGGAACCTCTCAACCCAAGAACTTGCCATTCCCACACGCTGTACACCATGACCTACACGGTAAAGGCGTCAGAACAAAGGCGAGTTCAAAATACAGGGTATGCAAACCAGGAAAGAAGAGAGCAGTGCGCAAGGCTGTCTCTGCGGTAATGGGGCTGGCATAATCTCGCTGGAAACTAGGTTTTAGCTGAGTACGACAATGAGCATGGTATCGGGGTGCTTTTATGCGAAAAGATAGTCTTGATTTCGGTGATAATGCAAGCATGTTTTGTAGGCCTCAGGAAGAAAAATGCCCTTGCTGTTATTGCAGGACATAGCCTTCAGATGCCATCGGCAAATGTCAATATTTCTTACAGATGAATTCGCGCTGCCTTCAAATGTAAGTGCAGCAACAGTAGCCGTAGCACGAACAAATGTGTTCTTGTGTAGTCACGTGATATTGAGTACTGACAGCCGCAGAACGTGTCAGTGATAGGGGGATTCTGTACTAACCTTGAAGATTTCGGAGCTGTTGAACGCTGGGTATGTAGATTATTGGGTATGTATTACCTGGCTATGTATTACTGGACTAATAAACCGATAGCACTAGTGTCAGGATGTAAGAACGGGATGGAAAATACAATGTCTACATAGTATCACAATCCTTTCTGATATTTCATGTGTTTAATAGATATAGTACTATCCAACAAGTAGTTATAAACAGGGACTGAAGGTTGTTTACATCACTAATTAGGTAATTGCGATTCTGTTTAACTACGAGAACTTGGCTCTGCAGGTATCTATGGGTGTCTGGAATCCTATCAGAACTGCTGACCGCCTTCGGAGTGAATTAACCTCCATACCTAGTACCTATCAATATCGCTATTTGAAATAATACATTGTTTACATACAAATTTTCAAATCATTCTCCATCACAACTGTGGCGTGTTGCGATTACTTTTCAGATGCGCGCTTCTGGGCCACGAAATCTACACAGGGTCTTCTTTGTACGCAATTAGCTTGTGTCTGGTCCTAAAAAATGTTTGTACCTAAGACGCTTTCATCCGCAGCTTCTCAGCGCAACCCCCGGAGGCGTCAGCGTACGAACTCAGACGAATCACCAAAGCCTCCAAGTGCGAAAAGACAAAGATCTAATCTCCGTCAAAAAGACTTAGAACTAACGTCTCACAATCTGAACAACAATCATACCAAGCTCGACTTTCAGGAACGCCAGTCGTCAACTTTAACTAACGAAGGCGTCGCAAATTCAGAAACTGCCCATTTCCACAGAAATATTCCTATACGAGCGGTCAAAAGGCCTGAGAAGCGCGAGGATGAAGGTGAAGGAACAGTGGTGCTTGTAAGTGGTTCTCGATCACTATTCAGTCTACAAGATCCTTGGATCGCCCATCTGACATAGGCTTATGCATAGTCAAAAACGGAGTTCTACACCGTCACCCAGCTACCCACTTTGCCAGACCAGGTGCTTGGTTTACAAACAGGCGAGTACTGCTGACCCCTTCGCCGCCACAACTATAATAACACAGACATGCAGGGCCTTTCAGAGGTTCATTTGGAACTAGTCATGGATATGCTTTAGCCTTAACCAAATCGCATGCCATTGTCTGGGCATATTCGACCACAGTCCCATCGCCTTCTCCTGCAGATGTTTTCACCCTTGCAATACCCGAGTCCTGCAAAGAGCCTGGTAACACTGCCCCCCTTGGGTTGCTCTTATCTACCGTTGCAGGTGGTGTTCCGGGGTTGATGGTGGTCATGCCATATACCGGAAAAATCATATACTGGGAAACCATATCAAGTGCTGCAACCTTAGCTTTCTCCAGGCAGAAGCACTCTGGCATCCAAGGCTGTATCCCTGGCTTGCTCTCGGGCGAGCACGCTACAGACGTCATAAACAGCGAGCCATCTGGTGTCGTTGTTATATTTTCTACTGGAAGGGTTGCCCATATAACCATCAGAGATTGTCAAGGGAAGCCAGCAATAACTGTCTCGTTCCTGAGAAGCCCCGCAGGTGGCGGTAGACCAGGCTTACTTGGAAGCTTGAGAAACGCTCTTGGGGGTGGCTTTTACAGAAAAGACATTGCCGCAGTTCGAGCGGGCGAATCCCACCAGCGTGGACAACGCGATGTCGTAATCGCTACGTCTCAAGGTCTCTTCGAAATTTGGGATACCCACTGGAACAACGGTAGCATGCTCAAACATCAGCATGATGTATATGATCTCTTGAGTGAAACACTTGGGCCTCTTATCGTTGGTCAAGCCGATGATCATAGGTTAAAGGTTTTAGATTTTGTCTTGGCCGACTGCAAAAGCACTAATGCTCGTGACGGGCCCAATTCCTCGCTGATAACAGCGGTTGTGGCATCCGTCTCACATTCTGCCCCCGGCACCGTTCGGGACATGTTTGTCGTCCAAATGCGATTTTCGGACGATGTTCAAGTCTTATCTACTAATACGATTGATTTTCATGGACTACGCACCCATCTCGACTTTCCGCGTGTCAGGTTGTTTGTACCAAGTCCCGGGCATACCGCTTTCATTGTTGTTGGGCAGTCAATTGTGTTGCTATCATTGACCATTTCCGAACACCCTACTATTACTCAGGATGCGGTTTCCGTAACTCAGCAAGGGCGGGCATTCAAGGATATTATTCCTTTACGTTCTGGAGAGAGCTACGAGATCTTAGGAAGCGGATGTGAAAACCAGAGTGGTGAGGGCTCATTAGCCGCATGCCTGCTCATGGTTCGAGATTTCGGTATCATTCGTATTGCAGCTTTGCCGAGTGAAAGAACAAAGAGCAACGTTGATGATGGCCGCATCACTGCGAAGCATAAAATCGAACAGGCTATATTCTATGGCACAATGACCAAAAACCCACTGAACCTTACAGGTGATGACGGAATAGGATTCCCAATCAGCGAGACGGAAAATGCTGCATTGGAAATATGCCAGGAATTGATGCGGTCTGCATCGGAATTCATTCCATCGAATGGGATTTCCGTGGATCAAAATTTGAAACTGCGAGCGAAAGCACTCGACGACCTCGCCCTCTTGTTGACACAGCAGAATGAGACCATCCGCCGAGAAGTCTGGTGGCAGTTACTTTGGAGTGCGGAGAAACTGGCTGCTCAAAGAGCTATGTGGAAGTTGGAAGACGAAGCCAGGAAATGCGCGAGCAAAAACTCAACACTGCTGGCGCACATAATCGGGTTAATGAGCGAGAAGTTCAAAACGAAGATCGAAGAGCAGACCGGTGATTGCGACCCAGTGCGCCATTGGTTTCTATATGATACTTTTCAAATGGAACATATCGTGCCGTGGATCTTTAAAGCCATCAAGCCTCAAAAGGGAAGCTCTGCAAAACAGGGACGACGGATGTCGGAGCAGCTACTCGAGGCTAGTGACTTGTCCCTAGCAGTTCTGGAGACTGCGTTTCGTTATCGAGACGAGAATTCTAGCCGGTATGGCATTGGCGACGGCTATCTGGAGGACGGCATATTGACGGGTGACTACACTGGTCTTTCGGAGTTCTGGACTTCTCAGCGCTATTGCTATATCGAATTTGGACATCTGCTGGATCTGGAGCTTGATAGCTGCAGAGCTTGGATCCAGAAAACAACGATTGGAGTTGAGCTACCCGAAACTCAAATTGTGAGAAGGATTGCCAAAAATAGTTCTAGGCAGCTTCAGATTTTAGGGCTCATGCACTGTGAACGAGTCCGTTGGCTCTCGTCCCAAGAGAGTCAGAAACTTATCGACGAAAGTATTGCGACTGAACAGGCTCACATCAAGCAACGGAAATGGCAGCTATTCAAGTTGGCCGGAATAGGGCATCTAGATGATGCCATTATGCTTGCCGAACAGTTCCGAGATATGGGAGCGCTCGTGGAGCTCATAATCGAGCTTCAGGACCAAACCAAGAGCCTTGTGACACATCAAGATTCGCCAAACAAAAATGCAGGTGCTGACGAGAACGCGTCTGAGCGACTCAGTCAAAAGATATCCTTTTACTTTGAGAAATTCGGGGAGTCTTGGGCCGATTCTTTTTTCTCCCGGCAGATCTCCATGGGCCAATCCGGAATACTTTTTGCGATGAAAAAGTTCCAGCCCTTCGTCACTCAGTTCTTACGGAAACACCCAGCTTATCTGCGGCTGGGCTGGATTAATGATGTGATCGGTGAGAATGACTATGAGGGCGCTGCCCGATCCTTGGAGAAGCTTGCCACGAAGCATGAATCAGATATATGGAGTCATCGTGTTGAGTTGTCCCTAGCAAAGCTTGCAAATCTCGCGGTCTGGGAGGAATCTCGAATGCCAGATAGTCTAGTCGTTCGCAAGAACGTCAGACGCTTGGAAGATTTTGCGGAGGTTGATGCCGTTCAAGAAGTGATATTCGCCTATGTCGCGCCCGCGTTACACAATGCAATCGATCAGAAGGCGGAAATTGATATCGCGATTGAACAATTTCGCAACCCAACAGCCGCGGACAGGCCTTCATTGCATGAAATATTTAGCGAGGCTCTGGCCAAGATTGTCACTCGACAAGTTCTCAGCTCGGATGAGTTAGTAGACCTGCTAACGCACATATACCTATCCCAGGTCTCTGAACAAGGTCAGGATGAAATCGTGGGGAAACAATTCTACCTAGCTTTGCGAATCATCCGACTCTCTTACGACCAGCGAGATCCACAATATCATGCAGCACTACAAAAATTGGTGTGGAGAAGATGCATGATAGATAACAATTGGGAAAGATTGGAAGAGGCAGCTGAGGGATTGGGAATGGACACCGAAAGTTTCCTTTATGCCACAACACTCTCACGTACCCTTTGTTGGTGCCTCAGGGACGGTATGAAATTGACTAGTGGAGAATGTCCTCAAGCATATTACTAACTCTGTTCACAGGCCTTGATGAAGATTCTAACTACCCTTCTATATACGTCCCTAACGGCCCGCACGACGTGTTACTAAGCGATTCTGACGCTGATCTTATTACAACACGTTTTCCACCTGAGCGGCGTGCCCGCATCTCTCGTGATCTCGCCAGGGAAAACGAAATCCTACTTCAACAAATCGAAAAAGGAAAGCTTAATTTCTGGTTCAAGAACCTTTTTGACTCAGCCAAGACCACGCGTCAAGAACCTTCTGGGGTTTCCACCGAAGATGACAAGAATGGCAATGCGCATAATGAACCGCAATACGATTCATCAACTGAGAAGGCACAGCTGAGTTGGCTCTAAGATTTTAGAACAACACTCAGCAATATCTGAGTTCTTGGCTAGTGCCTGCACGCTATAAATGAGCTCAATTGGTTGCAGACATGCTTCTCTTCCGTTCCGCTCTTTTATACATTCTTAGTAATCCTTTCCTGGCGCTGACATGTTTTCAGTATCTTCTAGCAATGCAATTGTCTGATAGTTGCCTTCCGTAGTTTAGGGCGAGGTTGCGGCATCTTCTTATCCACATTTAATGATTTCTTGAATTAGAGCAAGGCACCTGAATTGCACACGCAGTCAAACTATCTCATCATATTTCCTAGCAGGGGTCTTTGATAAACTGAAGATCGTCACCTTTGTGATACAAAGCTCTTGCTGGTTTACCGTGTCTGTGCAGGATCACTCTTTAAAAATCCTCATTTTGATCCCTGGCTACCTCGCCTGATATAGCTATGGCTTGTTCGAAGGGACTTCACTACCTTCAGTGGTATCACTATTGATACTATCAACTTTCCTTACCATATCGTCATCCGCGGGAAAGGCATCGGGCCCATGCACGGTCTCTTCAAAGACTGGCTCTGGTTCAACGGCTTCAAACTTTGTCTTGAAGTCCGCAATTCCCTGGGCGCTACTGTTTGAGTGACGTCGTGTGTTTGTAAACTTGTAGCCATAGTCGTGCACTTCATCGCCAGAGCGGCCCCTGGAGGAGGGTCACTGGATATTCCTAGGGGCCATGATGGAGAGAGACGCCAGACTACTCAACTAACCAGTTTCGTTTTCCGCCTCCATCTTTCTTTGTCTTCCGGGGATCAGCATCCACTGGTCCTGACTTGGCAAAATAGCGGGGAAGACTCTCTTGACCTAGAGCTCCCCCTTCGTGCAATGCTGAATGATCTGGATCGTTGGTTTTGTGAGACCGCGTCACTAGGGAGTTAACTATTGAGTGCGAAATACAACCAAGCCTAGCTTTTGGGTGTGCATCCAATGATGCGCACACCAAATATAGCTCCTAAGAGAGATGCTTACTTTTCATAGAGGTGGACTTTCTGCGTTCTTATGATCGAGGAAACTAGGCACATAATCAGTGATTTTCATCGAGCGAATGCAAGTCATTAATATACATACCTTGCTCGATATAAGAGATTGGCTCTATTCAATATGTCTGTAGTCTTTAATGAATAGTTAACATAAAGTGCCCGGGGCTTGCCTATTACAAACCCGATACCTACTTTAGCGGCCCACGGTTTCCAGTGGATATAAAGCGATTGGTTTGTTAGACAGTAATGTGTGATGTGGAAATAGGTATTATGTTACTGTTTGAGACTAAAGATATTGTAATTAGGCATTGGACAAAAAGGCACTTCGTACTACTTGTACAACACTCGCGGGGGTGGGGTCAGTCTTTATATGCAAATGTGTACTATATGCAAATGTGTACGGAGTACCAGCCGTATCATTGTACTATATAGGTGTCAATCTCTAGAAGCATGTGACCAGGAATACATTGTTTGTATGGTGAACTTATGACCTCATTGACTTGTAATGCGTTGATGAGCCAAAGGTACTAGTGCTGTAATCACCCATGAGCATCAACTTAATTGGACAATGTATGCATCAAGGGCCCACATAAGTGGGACTCAACTGAAGCTGAGTGTCATGATCCGCTAGCGCCTGGTGCACTTCAGGAGTGAACCGTCTGGAACTACTAACCACTCGGCTATCCGGTTAAAGACTAGAATTCTGAGTTTGTTGACTCAGAACGCGCATCACTTGTAAGCTTGCAGTGAATACTAAATGTGAGGAGTTTCCGGATTCTTGCACTGAGCACATAGACCTGTGTGAATATATTATCCAAGCAGGAAAAGGAATGAGTATAAATCTTGAAAAGATATAAAGTTTAAAAAATAAAAACATCTAACGAGTATAAAATGATTTGAAAATTTAGTAAATTTGTTTATTACTATCATTAAATTATATTCAATGTCTGCGAACTATGTAAATTATTCTAAATTCTTGTAATTAGAGCAGGGCAGCTGTAAGGAACTCTTCTAGGGGCAAAAGTTCAAAACAAGACCATAAGGCCATCATTACCCGCAGATACCTCTGCGGACCCCTAGAATCCCCTATATACTCAGGTACACCCTGGGAGGAGGTGGATAACTATACTTATAAGGATTACTTCCTTATATATATTACAGGTAGAAATAAAAGAAATTTAATATTTGATTATTATTTTCTCGAAAGTAATAATTGCTTATAAAATATTTCAGGGCTTTATAGTCTATTATAATTCTTATTATAAGATTTATTTCTTTTTACCAATATTATTATTCTTTAAAAACTTGAAGAACTTAATTATCGTAAGTGATTTTTAATCTAGAATTCTATGTTATTTTATTATAATCATTTTTTATAAATAAAATATAATTAATATCCACTAGCTATTCTTACTTTTCCATAATATTTTCAATGAATATATTTTCTTAAATCATAAAATTTTTTATAAGTTTCTTTTATTGGAAAGCTTAAATTTAGTTTTCTTTTCTTTTTCTCATAGAATATTTCAATTGAATAAATAAATATATTAGACATTTACAAGTACCTTTATATAAATTAATGATAAATCTATAAATTCTAAGATTTTCTTAATATTCTGTGCCTTTAGTTATTTATGAATTATTTTAATTTATCTAGATTTTATTATATATCTTCACGGCTGATAACAAAATTTAAAAAATGAATTTTGAGTCTTATAAAATAATACTCACTTTATTTTATATATAATCCTGTTTTTTAAAAAAAAGTTATTTTATTTTATAAACCTGTCTTTTCTATTTTTTTCAGATTTTATGAATACACTATAATGTTATTTAAATAGATTAATCTAGATACGCTATAAATAATATACTTATAAGGTCTTAGAATCCTGTGGAAGTATCAATTAATTTAAAAAATATAATTATATATTTGATGATATATATTTTATATAGAATAACATTTAGCTACATATAGTTTCTTAATTCTTTTTATAAGAAGTTTCGCAGAGATCAAGCTATTTATATTATAATATTTATATATATAATTAGATTTATTATATTTTTTTATATTAAGTCTAATAATTCTAATCACTGTTTTATATAAAAATCTAATAAAAAATAATATTTTATATTTAAAATATTATACCAGGAGAAAACTTACAGGAATTCTTTAAAAGTTTTATTATAAGATTCTTTTAATAACTGAATCTGTAAATAATGAATACTCAATAATTTTTAAAAAAATAATTATTATATTAAAATAATTATTATTTAGAAAAGAGACCTGATCAAAAAATTATAATTATGTAAATAATTTATAGATTTGAATAAGATAATAAAAAATATGAAATAATGATATTTAAAATTATAAGATTTTTCTACAAGTCTTTTATTACAGAGAGTATTTTAGAAAAGAGATAAAAAAAATTTATATATATTATAAAGCTGCCAGCTAGGCCTGTAATATTAAAAAATATTATAATAAATTTATAATTGAAAATTATATTTATATAGCTTATATAAAGAATTATTTTATTTAAAATAATTTAAAAATAATAATTTAAAAATAATAAATTTTATTTTTTATTTTTATTTCCTGCTGCTTCTCTAGTAAAAATAATATTATAATAGAATATTTACTAGTAGATGATTTATTTTAGTTTAGTTAAAATGGTTTAATTTCTTTCTTCAGTAATTTAATAATTTTATAAATTTATAGAAAAATATAAACTAGTATTACTATAAATATAAAATAAAAATTATAAATTTATATATAAATTTATATAATATATTTATTAATAATATACCCAGCTTCCAGAGTTATATATAAAAGATCAATAGAAAAGATATCTGTGAATTTAAATATTAGAAATAATTTATTAAAAAATCTTAAAATATTCTAGAAAATTACATATATATAATATCTTTATAATACATTTATAAACTATTAAGAATTAAATATTAAATAAGTATGAAGTACTTGTAGTAAAATAAAAAAATATTAAAATATTATTCTTAAAAATTATAATAATTTAAATAATATAAAATCCAGAAACATAAATAAAAATTTAAAATAAATTTAAATATAATAGAAAGAAAATCCTGAATGAATAATTCTATATTTAATATTAAATATTATTAAAATTAAAACATAAAATGTATAGCAGCTTATTACTTGAAAATATAATATAAATGAAAAATTAAATATTTCAATCTTATATACAGCAGCAGTACTAGAACTTTAATCATAAAAATTTAATTTTATTAATATATAAATAATAATTAATATATTAAAAAAACCCGTATTCCGTGCACTTTAGTAAATCATAATTCAAAAATAAAATAATAACTAGACCTACTAAATATAAGGATCCAAATCCTTATAACCCTTGTGATACTCATTATCACAAGAAATATCTATACTGATAATAGTCCTGTCACAAGATTTAGTTAGTACTTACTACATGATCCATAGACTATCCATAAATATCTTATTATTTACAGGCAGAGTCAGGATAATTAATAATAATATTTTAAAAAAATTAATCCTATATTTTATATTTATAAATAAAATATACTTTTTATATTATCTTATTATATTTATTCTTACAATTTTATTATTTAAATCTTATAAAATAATCTATTAAGCTATATTTATATAAAATACTAAAAATTATATTCATGAAGAATTTCTTGAATTTCATAACTTTAATCCATGAGACTATTATAAAAATAATTATAAAAGAACTTAAAAAAGTATAAATCTTTTTAAATAAGCTTTATAAATAGCTTAATTTATTTAAATAAATTATAAATCTAAAGTCAAGATTAAAAATTATTATAAGATTTCAAAAACCTGCAAAGATTTAAATAACTTTAATAATTTTATTATAAGTTTTAAATACTTAGATATTTATATTTATTTTTATAAAATAATAAATATTAAAATACTTATAATTATATTATTTATTAATTATTTATTATTCAGCAAAATTAATTATAGAAGTAAATAATTAAAATAAAAATAATAAATATATATTATAGTAATTTACTTAGACTATATTCTTAGTAATCTCTAGAAAGAAAAAACTGTAACTAAATATTATAATTATAAATAAAAAATTTCTATAAATTTTTAAAAATCTAATTAAAAATTTAAATAATAAGAAATAGAAGACCTGGTCATGAATTCTTAAAATTATTTCTTATAAAAAAAAGATTTTATATATTTTTAATAATAAAAGAAGATAAGAATAAAACTTAGTTATAAAGTTTAAAAGCTAGATATAATATAATTTTATTTATTTTTTAAATTTTTTCCTGTAATAATTAAGTAGAAGATTTATAAATAATTAAAATTTTCTATAAATAAGCAGGACTTGGTAATATTTTTTATAAAAATATATAAGTCTATCCTGGCAGAATAAAAAATTTAATTATTTATAAAAAAAAATTATTATTATTTATAAATAAAATTAAATAATTTCTGTAATATACCCTGTAAGATAAAAAATTATAAAATATTTTTTTATAAAAAAAAAATATTAATATTATCTTATAAATAACAGTTAGTAAGTCTATAATAATTCTTAAATTAATAATATATTTTTATTATAGAAAGCAGGACTACTTTATAACAGATTATTATATTAAAAAAAATTAATTATAAAAAATAACTAGTTACTTATATAAAGCAGAAAATATTAGAAAAAATATTATTTATAATATATTCTAGTTTACGGATATACAGAAGACTATTTATAAATAATAATTTTAATATATTTTATAAAATAAAGATACTGGTAGATATAAAAATAAAAATAAATTTAATTTCTATAATATTTATAAAAATTATAAAATAAAATTAATTTTTATAAGAATATTTATAAAATTTTTAGATAAGAATAGCATCTGCTTAAAAAATAATTATTTTTTATTAAAATTTTAAAAATATAAAAATAATTATAAAAATTATTAAAATATTATAATTATAATACCAGATATAAAAAAATTATATTAGAAATATTTTAAATTTATATTATAAAATTTATTATAAAATTTAATTATTACTATCTGAAGTTCTGCAAGATTTAAATAATTTAAATATATTATATATTTATAGAAAAGTTTCTCATGGAAAAAAAGACATAGAGTAAATATATATTATAATAATCTAGAAAATTTATAAAAACCAGAAAGAGAAACTATCTAATTAGTTATAAAAATTTAATAAAATATTTATAAAAAATTATATTATATTTATTTTTATAATTAGAAATTAACCTGAAGATCAAACTCGCGGAAAAATA